AAACTCCTTGGGGCGTGGGGACTCTTACCTGGATGGTGCCACTGTGCACCTCTCTCCCAGGAAGTCCCGCCACAAGATGTTGGAGAATAGTGGTCTTTGGGGTCTCTATTCCCCTTCCTTCCATTGGTCTTTGGGTGCCATGCACTCCTGACCCCTGAAACGACTTCCTTTGGCCTGGCTGCCCCTCACCCCATGGGCCATAGAGAGTCGTAGGGGTAGTGAGCAGGTGTGGGGGTGTGAGCCATGTCACCTGACTCCGAGGGAGGTCCCGCCAGTGAGAGCCGTTTCTGGGTCAAACGGTGGCCACCAGACCCTGGGCTGGTGGCTGGTTGGGTGCTTTGTAGCGAGCCTGTGATAAATGCTCTGAAAATTACTGTGGAATAAATGAATAGGTGAATGAGTCTGGAATCTGGCCCATGTCAAGATATGGTCCCAGAGTTCTACTCACCTCCATTCTTATTCTTCTGTGCCAAATGCTTTCCTCTATGGTTTAGGGACAGGGATTTTTAAAACCCAAAAGTTCTATAGACATCTCTTGCCATCTAATAGCCCTGACTAGATCCTCAGACCCTTTTCCTGAGAGAGATTTCATAGAGCAGAAGACTCTAGAACCAAGGTCTTGTGGGATTCTCCCTCTCTTTTAATCCCTCAACAAAGATAAGCAGAAGAATTTATCATCATCCATTTAAGCTGTTCGGTGTCCAAGAACACCCAGCAGCGAGTGCACTAATGTTTAGGTAGTTCCTCATCACGTGAGCCCAAAGCACTCGGGAAAAATTTATGTTCACAGTGTCCCAGTGAGGCAAGCAGACCTCAAGAATTATTATCCCACTTAATGGGTGGAAACTATGACCCTCATTCATGGGGCACGTCAGGAAGACGGCTCAGGAGAGAAGCCGTCTCCCTCTGCCCCCACAGGTCTGTGAGTGACCCCCCATAGGTCCACTGTCACATGCTTTTGGGGTGTGCCTTCCTGAAGTCAGCTTTCCCTGGTCAGTGCCCTGCCGGAGCCAGGTGGACAGCGGGTCCAAAGGCATCCGCACCTTCACACACGTCGTTCCAAGTGTCTGGGAGGAGGGGCTGGGTCTCCCCCAGCGTGGTCTCCACAGCATCGCTGTAGCTCTGTCCGGCGCCCTTGGACCATCCACGTGTATCACACACTCTTCCTCCTCGCTGTCACTCTCTCGGGCCACTGGGTCCTATCTGGCTTTCCCCAGCGAGTCTCATCCCCAGCTCACTCTCCCCGCCAGGCCTCCTGGGCAGGCCCAGGGCCCTCAGCCCCTCAGGGGCAATTCGACCACTCACCTTCCTCGCTGCCCAGCCCCGGGCCCCGGAGCCCCAGAGCCCCTCCGAGCTGCCTCCCTCCACAGTGGCTGGGCTCCGCAGTCTGACTCTAGACTCCCACTTCTACCACCTCTTGCCAAGAATTCCTCCTGACTTTGGTCGCCTCCCTGTCCACCCCAGGCCACCTCAGTCCGTTTTAATACTGCGTCCTTGAGCCCACGGCACCCTTCTCACGTCTCCTTGGTCCTTTGCTGAACATCACGTCCCTCTGCGCCCCGCCAGGCTCAGCTCTGACTGCTCCACAGCCGGTCGCATTTCCTGAGCTGCGGACCCTCAAGTCTGGCCGCCCACAGCTCAGACAGAACGCTCCGCTGGGCCTCTCTCATCGCACTGAAGACTCAGCGTATCACACCTCATCCTTAGTTCTCTCCCCGAGCTTGCTCTTCTGCCAAGTTCCCTTTCTCAGCACCACGGCCCCGCCGCCCAGTCAGGAGGTCATTCGGGCAGAGACTGGGGTGGTCCTGGGGGTGCTCAGCTCCCTCAGCCCCACCTCCAGTCGGCCACCAGGCGTGTCACCTCCAGTCCGAGCCGGGTGCGTCTCCATTGGCCCGTATTCCCTCTCCCCTCTGCCACCTCCCTAGTGCAGGCCAGCTGTCTAACCCTGGGGCCGTGTCCACCTCTTCCCAACTCGTCTCTTCCTCTAGGCCTGTCCCCTCCAACTCCACGTCCACGCTGCAGCAAGAGACATGCTCCTAAAACAGGGCTGACCATCCTCCCCCTTGCGTTCAGGATGAAATTCAGACGTTGCCAGGTCCCTGACCCTGTCCCTCGGCAGTCTGCCACCCCTTGTACACCGCCACACCAGACCACTTCCTGTCCCTCCGTGTTTTTGACTCTCTGGCCTGCACCGTCACACACACTGCTCCCTGGGCCTGACACATTACCCCTTCCTCACCCCGCCCTTGGCCACAGTGGCCTGGCACACCCCATACTCCCTGCGTGTCTGGGCTGGGAAGCCACCTGTGCTGATGGGTGCCAGGACCTGGTGGGGCAGCCCGGTAGGTGGACACTGAGGCTGAGGATGCGGTTTTTGTCCAGGCAGCAAATGCCAGTGTCCCTCCCAGGCAAGGCCATCCTGGGGCCCAGGGGCGTGACTCTGGTCTGGAGCCAGACACCGGCCAGGGTGGCCACAGGACACCCCTGCCTCACCACTCCCTGTTTGAGCGGGGTCCTCCCACACACCCTCATGTTGTCCTTGTGGGGAGCCCCTGCTCTCTGCTCCCCAAAGAGGCCACCCGGGGACAGATTCAGCCATGGGAGGCTGGAGGACAAGGCAATGAACTGGCTTTATTTGTAAGGTCCCATGTTTGCTATTTGGTGATCCCTATTCTGCTTCCTCAGAGCACAGAGACCAGGAAGAGGATTAAAAAAATCCTCTGAATGCACTTGAACTTCATGGTCTCGCTGCTCTGCCCTCCGTCCCAACTGCCTGTGAATTCCTCTCCCAGACTGCGTTTTCCATCCCAACTTTATGGCATTTCCCTAGATTAATGGTTAACATATTCATTTTCTCCCCTCCGCCCCCATTATCAAAGAGGGCTGTGAATAGCTATTAACTCTCGGGTTAACAGAAAGAAACACGTTAATTATCTACAAGCCCTGGAGCAGGAAAGTTCCCCTTTGTAACCTTCTGCAGGCGGCAGATCCCTGCCCCCACGGCTGACCTTCAACCTTCAGCCACACCTGGGCTCAGGGGCTGGCAAGGCCCCAGCACCCTGTTCCAAGGCCCCCAAGTCAGCCAAGGTCAGGAGCCACAGGGCGGGTGACGCTGCAGATTGCACCCTTCAGTGCAGCCCCCCTCGCCCTGGGACCCTGTAGAGAGGCCAGGCTGCACCCCCTTTTAAAAAATGGCTCTGTCAGTGCGGGCTGATGTGACGTACGTTCTTTGTTGCTGGGAGACTCGGGGAGGCTGTTCTTTCCTGGGGAGGTAGTTCAAAAGTGCTCCTGACCCCAACCCACGCTGCAGTCCTGCCCTCCCCTCGTGTGGGGCGGGCGGCGCCCGAGAAGGTCTCCCTCAGCACCGAGTGCCCAGGGTGCATGACCCAGATGCTGGGAGAGTGACCTCCTTCTGAAGCTGGCTGGTGGCGCCCTGCCAGGGAGGGGGTAGGGGGAGGTGGAGGGCAGGGTGGCGGGGAGCTCTGGGGCCCCTCTTCACCCTGGAGAGGGGAGCTGAAGCAGATGGGACCCGCTCCACATTGGGTTGCGACCAAGGGGTGCAGAGCTGCCTTGGGGGAAGTGTCCCCTCTGGTCGCTGTTGCGGGCACGGCTTGGGCCTGTTGCGGGGAGGGGTAGTCTAGGGCAAGGAGAGCCGTCATTCAAACTCCTGCTCGTCTGGCTTGCTCTTCCTGTGCAGGAAGAGGACACAGGCCCCACTAGACTTATTAGGAAAGATGCAGCGCGTCCTGGCTAGCGGGGCCGACCGCTCCCCTCATCTGGTTACTGTCAGGCTGGGCTCCGGGGCCTGCTGCCCAGCCTCCTCCCGGCCTGGCCTCGGCTGCCCACCGCTCCAGAGCCAAACATTTCCACATTAGGCAGCCTCGGTGCTCTCCACCCTTGGCAGGGACCTCCTGCGCGACCTCCAGGCGGGCTCAGAGCCAAGCCACTCTCCCCGCCCCTCCGCGCCCCAGGTGCACTTGCTGTTTTCTGAGCCACCCTTGTGATCTGGAGTCCAGGCACTCGGCAATATTCAGCAAACGTCACTCAGTGTTCTGTTTAGTCTCCACGCTACTCACACAGGCACCCTGGAAAAGCACGTGGGAGGCTCTCGTTCACGCAGGCGTTAGAGTGTACGCGGGGTGTGCTGGGCCCTCGGAAATGAGGGCCGGCTTTACCTCCCTCCCCAGCCCGGCCTCTCCCTTTCCGCTGGTCGGACGTCTCTCTCGGACTCGAGCATCTGAGCAGAAGTTATCATTCCCCACACACACACGCAGCCACGTCTGGGTTTTCACCGCCTTATATGGTCGCCACGGCCGTGCACGGCCACGGAGCGGTGGAAACGGGCTGCTCCCAAGTGAGAGGCGCTGTTAGTGCAAATTATACACCAGACTTCGACGACATACCTAAAAAAGTTACATAAAATGCCACACATGTGGAAATGGTAACCGTTTGGCTAAAGTGGGTTAAGGAAAATGTATTATTAAAATTAATTTTACCTGTTTTTTTTTGTCTTTTTAAAACATATCTACTAAAAAACGCTGGAAAGCGTGCCGTTCTCACCCCTTAGCGTGATTGGTCGGCGCAGCTGTAGATCCTTGCGCCGGGCGGCGGGCCCCTGCCCCCTGTGCACGGAGGTGGGCGGCTGCAGGTTCTGCGCCTGCTGCTCTCCCGCTCCCTGCCCCCTCCTCCCACCCCCTACCCTCTCTCCTCTCCTCCCTCCCTGCAGAGCTTCCAGTCACATACCAGGACCCAGGCCCAGAGCCGCCCAGCCCCTGCGCACAGAGCCCCAGGCACCCTCCTTCTGCTCCGCGGCCCCCTGGCCGGCTCCCGGAGGGCAGCCGTCCTGCCCAAGGTCCCTGGCAGGCAGCAAAGGTGCCCTCAGTGAAGCGTGGGTGAACAACTCTAAGGGGTGGAGTAGCAGAGTCCGGATTTGTTTGTTTTTTTTTCATTTCGAAGGGCAAAAAAGGCTTACCCTGAGTCACGCTCCGGTGGCTGCTGGTACCAGCACTCGAGAGTGCGAGCCGACCCAGTCCGGGCTTCAGACCTGCTGGCACTATTGGGAAGGTTTTAGAAATTCTTGCTTTATGAGGAGCACTGGCATTTTAAATCAAATACAGTGTCGTGTATCTCGATGTCATCAATCCTGTATGCAATGTTTACGGAGGCCTAGAGGCGGTGGGGTGCATGGCCCTCTCAGCTGGTGCCAGCGGATACCGGGGCGGGAGAGCCAGATCCAGATGCGCCGTGAGTGCAGCACAGCCCGGGGTTGTGACCCTCCTATGAACAAAGAATATGAAATATCTCACTGGTAATGTTTACACTTGTGTTCAGTATTCCGACATGGAACGACGAAATGGTAACGTTTGGGTCAGTTGAGTTCTATCACTGGCGTTCACCTCACCTATTTCTTTTTCCAGACTTGGCTACTGGGAAGTTGAAGAGGACACTGCGTCTCCTTTCCTCCCTGTGGGACAGTGCCGCTCTCAGGGAGCCACGCTCTCTCCGTTCTGGGACGTGCACCCATGGGTGTGAGCATCCCAACTGGGGCCTCGCATTCCTCCAGTGTCACCACCAAGCATGCGCCCAGCTCTGTGAGGCTGAACTCTGGTTCCTCGGGCCTGATTCTGCCCAGAGGACCCACCTGGACTTGCCCTCTGCAGGGATGGCCCCGCTGGCTCTCTGGGAAACTCCCGGGTCCCGCAGAGACTTGCCAGGTGATAATTACAGGTGTGCAAAGACCCTCCTGCTTCACACACGTAGTCATAATTATTTACCTTTGCCAGGCTCCAGAGGTGTGATGGGAGATTAGCTGAACAGAGGGGAGACTCGGCAGGCAGATCACCTTGAAGTTGACCCGTCAGCCAGATTTCGCAGCACCTGCCTGTTTCAGCCCGAGGGGCCGTGGCTCATTGGCTGGCAGAGGGCTGCAGACTGCCTCTAGGCCTCGGTCCAAATCCTGTGACTGCCTCCCTGGGTCTGGGCGGCAGACCAGCAGCATCCACAGAGCGGGGGAATTTTCCCCAGAGAAAGTCTTCCTCCCGAGTCAGCGTCTATGCCACCTTCAAGCAGTCTCTAAGATCTGGTCTCTGGACCATGCATTCACTCACAATCCACAGAATCACTTGCTCCCTGGGCCCCTGGAGACGGGGCCCTGGGTCATCCGTTCCCCTGCCGGTGCCTCCTAGAGCAGAGACCCCCGGCTTGGAGGCTGCAGGAGGAATCCCGGTGAATCAGGTGGCCCTGCTGCTGCATAAACTGTCCCCCCCCTCACCCCCAATGATGAGTGCAGCTGGGGAGGAGAGACGAAACAATCGTGAACAGTCAGGACAAATTAGGGCCTTTCACTGAGGTCAAGGACGGGAGAGGTTGGAGCAGCGGGCCAGGTGCGTGACCGATTTTGTCGGCTCCTTGGAGGAAACCAAGTGTTTGAGAACTAATGGAGCCCTTTGTGCTCTAAGTACAAACCCATTTGTCTTGGGAATGGAAGCAAGAGTGCGGGCCATGGAGATTTCCTGGTGCAGGCGGTCCTCACCCGGACGTCTCACACGCCTGCTGGGCTCTCACACCTGCAAATCAGTGCTGTCAAGGTGAGGAGAGGAAGGTCAAAGGTCCGTGAGAGTATTTCCAGGAGGGCTGAGAGCAGGAAGCCCCTGGGAACCGAGGCCGGTGGGACGTGGATGCTGGATGTGGATGCTGGACGCAGGTGACGTTTGCCTGTGTGGACGGAGCGTCCGTCCAACCTGTGCTGGAGCTTCACGCTCCGTGGACACGTGTGGACACCCAGCTGGGACTCCGTGGGACCGGGCCGTTTTCCTGAGCTTCAGTTGTTTTTGTCTGGTTATGCTCAGTGCTCCTTTCTGTTTGGGGAATATTTTCATATTTTTTTAATTAAAGAAACCAAGGAGATCTTGATTTTGGAAAGACATGTTTGACTCAAAAACAGTGCCAAGAGCATAATAAAGAAGGCGGCCTCGGTGTTTCCCGTGTCAACGGCCGGTGCTCCCAGCGTGCCCGAAAGTGTGGGAACCAGAAAGGAAGGAAAGGGCCCAGTCCCTGCTCCCCGGGCGTTCCAGCATCTCCCAGTCCCTCCTCTGAGCTCGCTCCCCGACGGATGTCCATGTCTGTGGCTCTGCAGGGAGGGAGCTCAGGCTGCAGAGGACGGTGACGTTCGTGAGCTGGTTGTGGACGGAGGAGGACATTCCTGACACGCTCCGTGGGAGGTGGCATGGGCGGGCGCTCAGAGTCGGCGTGGGTCCTTTCATGGCCTCCCACAGCTCACACGGGGGTCTCACAGGAAGAACATTCTAGAAGTTCTTCATCAGCCTTGGGGGGTGCTGACTCTACTGTCACTGAGCGCAGTCCCACTGTCTGGAGAGAGCCACGGTGCTGCACAGGGCGTGGCATGTGTGTGGGACACTTGGGACTGGAGTGGCTCGCCCTTGGGAGCCGTCTTTACGTCTGTGCTTGTCTGTGTTTTCTGTGCCCGTCCAGTCGCCGAATCTCACCCCTCTTCCTTGTGTGTCTCTGTCTACCCTCCCTTCCCACCCCCAGGATCTTACCTGAGAATAAGAATCCACAGGCCCGGGGGCGTGCTCAGTGACTGAGAATCAGGGGCACCCTGCTTTCGCTTGGCAGACACGACGGCTGAGACTTGAAGAGGTTAGGGGACTCCTCTGACGTCACTCAGCCAATGAGCGGCGCAGCCGGACCAGCACGCAGCTGGCCTGAGACCCTGTCCGCTCCGGCAAACCTGCCCACAGGGACTGCCCTCCCAGGCCTTCTCCGTGTCCGTGGGGAGAAGCCACACGGGGGGCAGGTTGGGTTGTGTAGCTACAGACTCGCCGAAGCGGCCAAGACGTCACCGGGTGTGCTCCCAGGCCTGTGGACACACCACATCACCAAATTTCCTGGACGCTCCGCCCGGACCTGGGCAACTGTGCCCGTGAGAAGGGACTGAGGAGGTTGTGTGTTGGCCACCTGGACCGGCAGCCACATAGGACTGCACCAGATCTGGGCCTCCAGGCTACCTGCCCCACTTGCTGCCTGTTTGGGCATCGGCGAGCCACTCAACCTCGGTGGGGAGAGTCGACCCCCACTGACCTCGGTCCGTGCTGTAGGCCCGGGTTTCGTCTTCCTTCCCACGGGGCTCAGGGCAGGGCGGTACTTCCAGGCAAGGTTTTCCTGCCAATTAAAACATGAAACGTAAAACATGTGGTGTGTTGTGAGCAAAGACCCTCAAATTGGGGAAAAGCCCCGGGAGACAAGGTCACGGGGGCAGCGTGCGGACAGAGGTGGACGGCACAGAGCAGCGGCACCGTCCAGATTGACTGAGGACCGTGAGGCCTAGGTGGGCGCTGGCGGCCGTCCCGGGGCAGCTTTCCCAGGTCCCCCTCGGGCCTGGGAGCCGCTGGACACTTTGCAGTGGGGCAGAGACCTCTGGGAAGGGCAGGCACGGTCAACCGTGCCCCCGGTCCATCGGCAAGTCCTATTGGCCTGTCTCTAGCGAACATCTGATTGTGTCCCCTGCTCCTCGGAACGGCCACTGGCCCCGTGCTGGTCCCGTCTCGGCTTCCTAAGACTCCTCCTTCCCTGCATTCTCACCCGCATCTCCTGGACTCGTCAGCACAAACGTGAGGAAGAAGGAGAGGAAGACAGAGGAGGGGAGGGAGGAGGAGGAGAGATTATGTTATGTCCTCCCTCCCTGTACTTCATTAAAACCCTTCAAAACCTCCCCGTTGTGCTTAGAATGAAATCCCAGCCTGGAGGCAGCTCTGCGTGGCCTTGCCCCTGCCCCTCCCCCCGCCCCCCAGCCCCACCTCGCTCTCTGCTTCTCCACACTCACACCGCTCCTGGCGCTCCTTCAGTTCCTTGAACTCTGGCTGACCCCTGCTGCCTCAGGGCCTTTGCACACACCCTCCCTGCTGTCAGGAGTAGTTTCCTGACTCTTCCCACGGCTCCCTTTGGGCCTCCGCTTGAGCAAGGCAGGGGGGAGTTCCTCCGGGCCTGGGGGAGACCCTGAGGGGTGCTTTGCTTACAGAGAACCAGTGACACGGAGTCAGTGAGGGATTTCGAGGGGAAAGCAGCCACAGAGGTTTAAACGTTCCAGTTAGACTCGTCAAGGCGTTGCATGTGATAGTGAAACTGCTGGGAAGCTCTTTTTTGGTGACTGAGCAGTTCTGCGCGCATTTGGGCTGAGGGTGGGAAGGCAGTGAGGGAAGCTGCGTGAGCAAGGGGGCGTGTCGCAGGTGTGGGGGTGCGGGGTACGGGGTCGGGGTGCAGAACGCCTGAGGCCGGCTGGCCTGCCCTGCAGGCATGCTCCCGGCGACACAGTTCCGCCCCGACACTCGACTGGCCCCTGGTTTGTTATTGGAACTCGCACAGACGCATCACTTTAGATAGAACCGAGCAAACCTCCCCCTTTGTTTTTCTTGAAATGGGCCTCAGAGGTGCTCTCCAAGAAACAAGGGAAAGAGGGATGGACGATGGTGACTCTGAGTCTGTCTGCGGAAGGCGGCCAGGTCGGGGGGCGTCCATGGTCATTTCCAAGGCAAAGCCCTTCCTGTCGAGCCGTGTGTGGAGGTGAAGAAAAGGGGCCGGGGCTGGGAGCGGGGGTGCTGTGTGTGCAGCCGGGCCTGGGGACGGGGAGTGAGATTCCTGGGGCCTCGGTAACAGAGCGCCACCAACTGGGGGGCTTAATACAGCAGAAACGTGTTCTCCCGCCGTCCTGGGGGCTCAGAGTCTGCGATCAATGAGTCGTGCACCGGTCACATGCCTCTCCTGGCTCCTGGGAGAACCCCGGCCGCTTCTGGCCTCTTCGGGGCGGGGGGGGGGGGCGTCCTCCGTGCTCCTCCACGCGCAGTGGTGTCACTCCAGTCTCTGCCTTCGAAGTCCACGGACTTCTTCCCTCCATCTCTGCTCCGTGTCCAGATCTCGCTGTCCTTAGAGGGACTCTGGTCGTTGGGTTCATCACGGCCTCATCTGAACTCCAGGGCGTCGCAAGAGCCCTGTTTGCAGAGAGGGTCCCCCTCACAGGCACGGGGGCTAGGACTCCCACATGGCTTTTTGGGGGGCACACGTCAGCTCGCAGCAGGGGGTCTCCTTGCTCCTGTACAGGCAGACGGTGACCCGTGTGCCTGGACATGCTGGCCGAGGAGAAACCATCGCCTCTGATTTGAGCAAGACGTGACTTCCAGGTCTAGGAGGCACAGCTTACACGAACATTTTGAGGGTTGGAGTAAGAAACCGCTAGAGTTTAGGAAGCCTGCTTCATTCCAAGATTTCCAATTACAAGTGACATGGGTCCCTGGTAGGCTGGACAATGGGCCACACAGGTTGTCCGTGTCCTACTTCCTGTGTGTGACCCGTCCACGTGGGGCTTCACACGGTAAAGGGGACCGGACAGGTGTGAATAAGGAGAGGATTTTGAGATGGGATTATGCGAGGTTGTGAAAGCGGGTCGGAGTCAGCAGGAGATGCTACCCCAAGGGCAGAGGTCAAGGGCAGAGTGGTTTGAGGATGCTGACTGCTGCCCTGGATGCTGGAGGACGGGCCGGGGCTTGGGGCTGCTGGAAAGACACAGACACACCCTTGCCTCAGAGCCTCCGGGGGAGCCAGCCCTGTGACCCTTGCTCTCTGCCCTGTGACTCCGAGTTTGCACTTCTGACGAGTCCGCTTGTCTCGGGTTGTCCCCTGAGTTGGTGGTGCTTGGTTGCAGCAGCTGTGGGAAAGCAGTGGAGTCCTCGTCGGGGGCCCAGTTCAGCGTCTGGCACTAGTTTCCCGACTGTCCATCTGCCCCTGGTTCCTGCGCACTCAGACCTGCGTCTGCCACAGACGGAAGGCGGCCACCCCTGCTGGACGTGCAGGCCGAGGGTTTACACGCGGTGGATGCCGGAGCCTTTGGCCACCTCGCTGGCCTCACGTCTGTGAGCAGGGAGGGGAGCTGGACCGGAGACAGACGATTCCACACGTAAAGTGCTCGCTGATTGCGCGGTGGCTGCTGCTCGAGGAGTGAGGACAGAGGACAGCGACGGGGACCCGGCTTAGGTTCCGGGGCCAGGCAGAGCCGACTGGGGACACGTAGTTGACATGAGGACCAGACGTGCCTGCTCTCGCATCCCCTTTCAAAGACAGACACTTCCTCTGCACAGGGAGGTGACCCGACCTGAGCTCTCAGCGTGGCCACCGTGGAGAAAGTGGGCTGAGGTGGCCATTTGTCTGTGGTGTGGACCATGCCTGCTCCACGCTGGAGGCGGTGGCCTGCTGCACCTTCGTCTGCTGTTCATGCAGCACGTGCCCTCTGGCGTGCGTCCTTCTGTCCCTGCAGGCCATCTGCCCCCCAGTGGAGCGAGACCTCCCTGGCTGTCCTCGGGAATGGAGTGAAGGGGGCAGCACGGGGACAGGGCAAAGCCCCCACACCCAGGCAGCCAGTGGCAGATGGGAGAGGCAAGTGCAGACCCTGAGAATGTGGCACTCAAGCAGTGTTAGAGTGGACACAGGACACAGGGCGCGGGGGCCTCTGTCTGGGCCACTCTGACTGGGGCCTGGGGGGCGGCAGAGTTTGGGGGGCACTCTGAGCAGGGGTAGCAGGAGCGGAGGGCCCCCACGCCCGAGGCTGTTTGGCTGGGGCCACGACATTCTGCCTACCAGTGAAGGCAGCAGCTACCGCTTCTCGGGCACTTTCTGCGTGCCGGGACTGTGTTGGAAGCTGGGCACACCGCACCTCCTCCGCCCCGCCTCAACACTCAGGGGTCTCAGAGAGCTGCGGTGACTCGGCCCCCCGCCCCCACCGAGAAGGTCCGAGCGCCATCCGTGTGCATTCGCAGCGCTGCGGCGATGATGAGCTGTGAGAACACGCAGCCTGGAGTCCCTTTCCGGTCCCCACCCACTGTTCCTGTGGCTCAGAAGGGCCCCAAGCTCTGGGAGTTCAGAACTGGCCCCAGGTGCCATTGGGCACTCTGGGGTAGGGGACATGGGACAGCCCACCACTGTAAGGGCCGCCCAGGAAAGCACCGACGGTGTTAGGCCACACGGCTGACCCCAGGGCGCTGTCCCCTTTAGCTGCAGCGTGGGAGGGCCGGTCATGTGGCCAGGCACGGCTCTCTGACATGCTTGTGGGGGCTCCTTTCAGGGGAAAGTCACTGGAGCATCGTGGAAGCCGAGCTTGGGTGCCAGAACCTTCTGCAGGCAGCCACTTGCCACCTGCCAACCAGAAACCCTGCACTGCCCTCCCCCCGCCCCACCCCGGCCTGCCTTATCAAGTGGGATCTTGTAGGAACCGCTGGCACCTCAGCAGCCAGGGAGAATGCCACGGCCAGACAAAGGCTCTCCTGTTGGGGAGGAGCTAGCCCCCGGCTGTGGCCTGGCGATGGCACTTCTTGCTCAAGCATTTACAGGGAAGCCAAGCCCTCCCACATCCTTGGGTGAATCAGTGCCCCCGGGCACCCGTTTGAGGAAAGACCTTGCCCCACAGGTGAGGTGGCAGCTGAGGAGTGGAGGGGTGGAGGCACACTTTGGAGCAGGGCCAGGGAATGCAGCGTGGACACCTCCAGGAGCCTGTCCTTCCTCCGGGACCAGGCAGGTGCTGCCTGAGGAGGCCGAGGGGAAGGGGGCTGGGCTCGGGGTGCAGGGCGCCCCTCCCCTTCGATGTGGGGGGGGCGCTGAGGGCCCGCTGGGAGGCTTCCTGGGCCCTGTGGCAGCTCCTTAGGCTCCTGGGTTGGCCCCGAGTGGCACACATGGCGGTATCGCCGTGGCCCTGCGCTCTGTTCCAAACAGCTGACCTCGGTGCCTGGCTGTGGCCCGAGTGAGGGAGCCCGAGGTGGAGAGACCGGGAGTGTGTTAGCACGGCTGTGATAGGGCTCAAGTCTGCTCATGTGCTGTTGCGTGTCGTTTAGGCCTGGCCAGAACCTTGGGCGCATTCTGGGTGTGAAGGCGCCGGGCGGGGTGGGAGGGGTCGGCAGGCCCCAGCTGCCCAGAGCCCACCACACCAGGGCATCAGCTGTGCCTCTGTTCACCCCCTCGCAGCACAGTGGAGAGGGGCAGAGTCTTCCTTTTCTTTGGGCCCCCAGCTTCTGAGATGCTGCCAGTGTCGATAAAGCTTGTTACCTGGGGTTACTGTGAGCTGTGGACGAGTGGTGATGGGGTCCACACCAGCCAGACCCCTTCCCAGGGCAGGGAGGGTGCCGTGGGGCCGCCCACTCTGGGTCAACCAGGTCATGAGTGCTTGGACATCTACCAGGAGCTCTTGATCGCCTGGGCGAGGGCCACATGCTTCAAGGGGCCCCATACCTTCCCTTCTCGGGTGTAAAATGAACACCACAGGAGAGGAGGCGTCCTGCTTAAGGCTGGCGAGCCGCTGAGCCTTCCTTTCAGTGTGTTTGCCTGACGCCGGCCACTCCAGGGGCTGGGGCAACAGCCCGAGCGGGACAGGCAGAAATCCCTGCTCTCACGGAGCTTCAGCCCCAGCAGAGGGAAATGAGGGGGCCAACGGGATAATGAACAAAATGCACGTGGCATCAGCGGTGGTGAATGCTAAGGAGAGAGACAGAATTGAGGAGGCGGAGGGTGGCAGGGAAGGTGGCTGCTGTGTGTGATTTGGGGGAGGCGGGGCGAGGAGGGTGACATTTGAATACAAACCCGAAGGAGCCCAGTGTGTTCTGGAAATAGACAGGTCAGTATTGCTGGGGGTTGGGGGGGTGGGTGGTTAGAGGGAGATGACCAGGAGTCAGAGTGGGGGGTGTAGGGGGCAGATCCCTCAGGGCCTGCGGGCTGAGCTGAGGCCTTGCGGCCACTCTGAGGAAAACGGGGGCTTTGAGCCGAGAAGTGACCTGGTCCACTCAGGTTCCTAGCGTCCTCTGGCTCCAGGACTGGGGACAGACTGAAGGGACAGGGTGGAGGCAGGCGAGGGGGTGGGGGCTGCAGCAGGGGCCGGTTCTCGGCGCAGTTTGAAAAGGAGCCACAGGGTTTGCCGGCAGATTGGAGGCACGGTGTCAGAGAAAGGGAGGCTGCCCTTCTCGGAGATGGGGTGCCTGGGGAGATTACACCTGGGAGGGAAAACCGGGGCTGTCTTTCAGACACGCACCACCGGAGATGCCAAACGGACGTGGGAGTGGAGATGGCAGCAGACAGCTGGACCTCCGAGTCCGGAGCGCAGGGGAGAGGCCCGGGCTCGAGAGAGGACTTGGCGTCATCGGTGTGGAAGAGATTTACTGTCATGACGTGGTTGAGATCTCTGAGGCAGGGGGGAGACCTGGCGCTGAGCTGCAGCCAAGGGGGGAGGGGAGGGGGAGCGGTCCTGTTCCACGGAGGGAGGGCGCGGGCTTGCTGTGGACGGCGCCCACCTGTGAGGTTGCTCCCCGCCAGCGCAGCCCAGATTGAGGTTCTTCTCGGCACCTTCCGCCCGGGACACCGAGGGAAATCACTGCTGCCCCCGTGGGGCTGAGGCACTGCCAGGGTCGTCAGCACCTCAGGGCGCCAGGGCGGTTGGCAAGGCGACGGCTGGCACCGTGGATGGGCAGCACCCTTAGTCTTCCCAGGGGTTCCCCTGGTGGACAGTCCTGGACTGAGAGCATCAGCCCCCAAGGAGCTCGCTCCCTGAGGCCTGCCCAGGCTGCCACCCCTTCACCCTCTGCCCTGTGCCGGGGTGGGGGTGGCTGCACCCCTTCACCCTCTCCCCTGTGCCGGGGTGGGGGTGGTGCCCGACTCAGAGGAGATGGAAGCCACCCCCATCTCCCGCATGACCATGTTCCACAGCCAGGCCTGCGGGTCCATGTTCCCTCCGTTTCTCCACACGGCCCCGCCCCTCCCCGCCCCTTCAACCCCGCTCACTTGTCAGCCTTTCTTTTTCTGCTCAGCGTTGGGCCCCTCGCTCGTTCTTGTCCTTGGAGAGCGTGTCCTCCGGCTGCTCACCTCCCTGCCGAGAGGACAGCGCTGCTTGCCCAGACCCACCCTTCCCCCCTCCCCAGTAACTAGAGGCGTGTCCGGGCCCCTGGCCGTCCAGGGAAAGACCACATCCCCCAGAGTCCTCGCAGCGTGGGGTTGTGGGGCTGGTTTCTGCCAACAGAGTTTCTGAAGCGCCGTGTGCATTGTCGACCTTGACAGGGCGAGGTCAGTGCTGGTCACTCTGGAACCTTCTCCTCCTTCCTGCTGGTTGGAGTGCGAATCTCACGGGAAACCGTCTTGGACCGAATGGGTGAGGGTGGTGCACTCTGGGTGGAAGGTGGAGCAGTGGGTGGGTGGGTCTCAGCAGAAGAGCTCCGGAGGGACCGCCCACCCGGACACTGAGAGGGGCCAGAGGAAGGAGGTTCTCTCCTTCACCTGTTGTTTTGAGGTTCTGCTGGAACCGATGAACCTGCATTCTAACTAACATATTCTTCAGGCTCCTGGGCCGACTTCAGTAGCTTGGAGGTTACGTGAAGACGGAGAAATGCGCTCCCCGTTGGCCCAGAGAGCCTGACACGGTGTGAGCTCAGTAGCAACCCGTTGAAAGCATGAGTGAGTTCCCGTGTCGTGCCAGCGCCCTGACCGCTGCTGTCCCAAGACTGGGTGGCTCCTGACCCATCGCCCGTCATGCGCTTGGACGATGATGGTCTCTGTGACGGGCCGGTTCCCACGAGGTTGATTGAAGGTCGGGGAAGACAGCGCCCATCCAGCTGCAGGACTCTGAGGGTGTGAGCCTCGGACCAGGTCACAAGTTCTCCCCTTCCTGTCTGTTGAGCGAGGGGTTCACGCGACTTCGCAGCTCCGTGGCGACTGCGCCTCCCCTGTGGGTGACGCCCCCGGACAGAGTCACAGCAGCGGCAGGCAGCCCGCCGGGCAGCCCTGGAGCTGTGGGGATGCAAGAACCACCACGGCCTTGTGTGCAACAGATTTTCAGAGCCGTGCCTGTCCCAGGAAACAGCCGTGCAGAGCTCCCGCCTCCCGTGGCCTGCAGGTCTTCTCGGTCCACTGGGTGTGAGTGTCTTCTGCCCGCGGTCTGCCCTGCGTGAGCCTCCCCTCCTGACCGGGGCAGCCCGCGCCCACCAGCCGTGGCCGCTGGTTCCTGAGATGGCGGAACCGTGAGAGACTTGCCAGCTGCCCAGACGAACCCCGTCCGTGCAGTTGGCCCCGGGACCCCTCGTCTCAGGGCCCCGAGATCCAGTTCCCCCGCGGAAGCCGCTCCCTCCAGACCGCACTTCCTCCCCTGGGTCTCACCCCTCGCCTCTCCCTCGCCTCGGCTGAGAACCCAGGTCTGGAACGGGCGTCCCTCAGAAGTGCTCCCACGTACTCTCGCTGTTGTGTTTTCGCTGTCAGACTGGGGGCTCAGGGGCCAGCCTGTGTCCTGGCCACTCGCCCTGGTAGCTGGCACCTGGGTGTCCCGCCGCGTATTTGCTGAACAAAGGAGAAGATGAACCAGTGAACGATTCTTCGTGCCTGGGGTGACCTTAACCCTAGCCTGGGTGCTTGGCTAAGCTGTGGCCTTGAGCCCCCAGTGAGGCTCCCGGGCCTTCCTCTTGGTAAAAAATACTTTCAGACTCCTGATTATTTCCTTGTTTGGGGGCCAACCCCCAATCTGCTCCTCTGAACTCCCTGTGGCTTCTGACACCACGTTGCAGCTCCTTGCCCTAAAGCCACACCCTCGTGGCTGCCACTGCCACCCAGGGTCCCTGTGTGGGCCAGTTCCACCACCCGCTGTGTGGGGACCCCCGGCACAGCCCGCCCACCCCTCGGCACGTGTTGTCTCTCCTGAGGAGCACAGAAAGGGAGTCTGTTCGGAGGAGAGGACCGAGGCCAGCCCACGGGGTCCCGAGCAGCTGTGACTCTCTCGGTGCATGACATGTCCCTTCAGCATGGACAGATGAGGGGTGATTATTTTTTAAACTTTTTGTTTTGAGATCACTGCAGATTCACACATAGCTGTAAGAAATGAGGCAGAGAGAACTGTGTGCCTTTGACTCGGTTTCCCCAGTGGTGACACCTCCAGCGCTCTGGTACAGCGTCACAGCCGGGAGGGTGTCGACAACGACACCGTCAAGATACGGAGCATTTCCACCACCGCGGGCGTCTCTCGCGCTGGTCTTTGTGTCCGCACCCACTTTCTCTTCTGCGCCTCCCCCACCCTTACCTCCCTCCAGCAGCTGACGTGCACGTCACCATATTTTTTCGGACTGTAAGACGCACTCTGCCCCCCAAATTTGGGAGGAAAAGGGGGGTGTGTCTTATAGTCCGAATGGAGCTTTACATTTACATTGGTGAAATATTATGTTATTTATGTTATTAAATATTTTACCATATTTTTTGCTTCAAAAATTTTGTTCCTATTTTCTTCCTCTAAAACCTAGGTGTGCCTTATAGTCCGAAAGATAAGGTATGTAACTTTGTCCTTTCAAGAATTTTATCTATGTGTGTATCTGTGGGGTCATACAGCATGCAACCTTGACTTTTTTGCCTAGCGTGATTATCTGGAGACTCACCAGGTTGCTGCTTGTATCACAGTTCGCCTCCTTTTATTGCTCGCCAGTTGTCCACGATATGGACATACCACAGTCGCTTAACCACTCACCTGTTGAGAGACATCTGGGTTCCTTCCAGTCTGTGGTTATTACAAATAACACTGCTGCAGACATTCCTGGACAGGTCTTTGTGTGAACGTAAGTTTTCCTTTTTCTGGGATGAGTGCCCAGGGGAGCATTGCTGGGCTGCATGGTAGTTGCGTATTTAGTTTTATAGGAAGCTATTAAACCGTGTTCCAGAGTGACGGTACCATTTCAACTTCCCATTAGCAATCCGATTTCAATTGTTAGCTAGTGACTGGTTTCTCTGTATCCTTGCCAGCACTTGGTGTCGCCACTATGTATTATTTTAGCCCTTCTTTTAGGCGTATAGTAGTATCTCATTTTTTAATGCCGAGTGATTTTGAAAACCTTTTCATGTGCTTATTTTTGTCTGTATATCCTTTTCAGTCAAATGTTTTTCATGTCTTTTGAAAAATATTTTCTAACTGGATTTTTTTCTTGTTTGTTTACTATTGGGTTTCGAGGGTCCTTTGTATGGTCTAGACACTAATCCTGACCCGATAGCCCTCCTTTTGCTAATATCACACAGCCTTGACTAGTGTAACTATGTAATTAGCCTTGGAATTGGGTAGACTGGGTCCTCCCACCTCATTCTTTCTGTAACAGTGGAAACTCATAGTGTGGGGAATTGTAACCCACCCCGGCATTCTTCTGACATTGTTTCTGTAAGCGTCAACTCTGACTAATGTGTGGCTTGTGGATGAACAGCATGTTTGCAGAAGAATCCTAGGAACTAGCCTCAAAAGACACAGACTCTGACCTCCAGGCATCCCAGTGCCAGGAGACTGGCTGACCTTCATCCATGGAGCCGGGACGACTAAACCAGGATGACGCACACCGGACCGTCACTTGCCTTATGGGAACAGACTGTGCTCCCTGGCACACAGACAGCTTTGCAACCCCTTCCCTTGATCTCTTTGTTCTGTTCCCCTCCTGCTCCTTATAAAAGCCTCTGCCTCCACTGAGAGGCGGGGATGGGCTTTGAGACAGGAGTCCCCCATCCTCCAGGTGGCCGGCACCTGAAAGTAAACCACTTTACAACAGCGCCTGCCTCTTGAGTGTTGGCTTTCGTAGTGGCAGGCAGTTGGACCTGCCTTTGGTACATTTCTTTGCAAATTATTTTAGCTATTCTGGTTTTTGCTATTCTATGTAAACCTTACAATAATCTTGTCTCTATCTAAAAAAACTTGCTGAGATTTTGGTAGGAACTGTGTTAACCTGTATATTATTTGTTTGGAGAGAACTGACATTTTTATGGTGTTGAGTCTCTCAATCCATGAGTATGCTATGTCTCTTAATTTACTTAAATTCTTCTTGTTTTTTTAATCAATATTTTAAGCATGTAAGTTCTGTACATGTTTTGTTGAATTTATACCTAGTATTTCATTTTTCTTAAGTGATTGTAAGTAGAATTGCATGAAATCATTGGTGTCCTCTTGTTTGTTGTTGTTATGTAAAAATACAATTGAGTTTGCATGTCTATTTTTATTTTTTCAATTTATTTTATTTTTAGAGAAAGAGAGGGAGAAAGAGAGAGAGAAACATCAATATGTGGTTTCGTCTTGCACACCCCCTACTGGGGACCTGGCCTGCAACCCAGGCATGTGCCCTGACTGGGAATCGAACTGGTGACCTTTTGGTTCACAGGCCAGCATTCAGTCCACTGAGCCACACCAGCCAGGGCACATGCTTATTTATTTATCTTTTGTTCTATAACCTTGCCAGACTTACATATCAGTTCTAGGTTTTTGTTTTTGTTTATTCTTTGGGATTGACTCTTAATGCAATCACATAATCTGTAAATAGAAATGGTGTCATTCCTTTCTTCCCAAGCTGTGAGCCTTTATGCCTCTTCCTGTTTTCTCGTGCTGGCCGGAACTTCCAGGACAAAGTTGGGTGCTGAGAGTGGAGAGTCTCACCCTTTCTTGCTCTTAGAGAGAAAGCGTTCCATCTTTCACCAAGAAAACCATGTGAGCTAGAGGGCTTCATGGGTGGTTTGCAGCAAGTTGAAGAAGTTTCCCCTCTATTACAATTTTTCCGAGAGTTTTTCTAATGAATGGGCATTGGCTTTCATCATATGTGGGGCCGGGCAGTAACTCTTTGCTATCCCGAACTCTCTGGTGAGACCTGCCAGTGGGCGGGCGTGCACCTGACCCCCCACCGTCGTCCTCTGGCACCAAGGCGACGTGACTTCCACTCACTAGTCAGCGTGTGCGGCAGGTCCACTAACGACGTCCTTCTGTTCAACATCGTTTTGTTCAATGTTGACAAGAAAAAAGGTAGACTCTGGGCCAGACCCACTGCGTGTGCAGAGTGCATGTGTTCTCCCCATGTCTGCGTGGGTTTCCCCTGGGGACCCAGTTTCCTCCCGTGCCCCGGAGACGTGCACGTGAGGTTAACTGGCCGGAGTGCACGGTCCCAGTCTGAGTGAGGGCGGGTGTGGGTGAGCCCGGGGATCGAAGGGCGTCCGGTCCAGGGCGGGAGCCGCCTGCCCCCTGAGCAGCCGGGATGGCCTCTGGCCACCCTCAGCCCTGAACTGGAATAAGTGGGTGAGAAAATAATTATCTTGCTTATTTTTATTAATCTTTCTTACATGTATGTTTGGCTCACGTTTATCTCAAGGTTTAATATTAGAAGAGTGTTGGGTCTTTATTTAGAAGAAGTTTGTGACCAGAAATGTGCAGTGGGAACCTTGCTCTTGTTTTTCTCGGCTTTTCAGGCTTATGGTAACACTGGTTTCGTTATAGGTCGTTTTGCTGAAAGTCACAGAACCTACAGATGACAGTATGTGATGACTGATGGTAAATGTGCAGCAGATTCAAAACAGAGGAGACCCGCAGTGACCCGGCCAGAGGTGGCCCTGAGACTGACCTCTGGGAATGAGTGGACCTTGGGTACACAGGAGAGAAAGTCGGAGAGAGAAGCGGAGAAATCCAAAGGACCTGAAACTCCAGTTTCCAACAAGGACGGCCCCAAGTCAGTCATCAGCAGGACACAGCCAGCTTTCGCTTGTGGAGCTGGATTATCTCCGCTCTGTGGATTATCTCGCGCGAACGCTTCCTCCTGGGCTTCTTCCTCTCCCCATCCTGGTGGGCGTTCCGGCTCCTTTTCCTGCTGTCCTGTTCAAACCGCCATCGCTGTTAGCTAAGGAAAAACATGATTAAGGAAGGTGATCTGTTGTCCCTAAATGGTATCATTTATTCCAAACTAAATATGAGTGACATTTGCATCATCTTTTGTTTATAGCTGTCCATACCACTTCTCCTCTCCTGAGGGTGAACACGGCTCACCTGTGTGAGCATTGCAGACACATCACCTGTTTGAGCTGCCTCTCTGCAGGTTAGCTGCACTCCTGGGAGCCAAGAGTAAGGACTCGGGGGTCATGGCCCCGTGACATCTGAGTCATTGGACCGTTCCCTGTTTTTCTGTGTTTACACTAACATAAAGTAATATTGTGATGGTGGTCTCATCTGCAACATTAGAAGTCCTGGCACGTTACCCACAGGTCGGGCTGGGATTATCTTTCTACGGGGTTGGTGGAGGCGCGTGGATCTGGGACCTCTGTCCCACTCTGTCCCACTGGTGGCCAGAGGCTCGTCTTTGAGGCAGACAGCCCGGGTGCAGGGTGGGATCTGAGGCCACCAGGAGGAGTGGAATGAACCGCCCCCTTCACATGGGGATGGGACCGCTGGCCCGCACCTCATTAGCATGGTACTCCAACCCTCCAATGCAGTGATCCCCGGCCTCGGTTTCATATCACCCCAGGGTGTTCCCACTTATCTCCAGGGGGAGCTGCGGAATTCCCCCCACAGCATTAACTTTAATTTACTTTAATTTAAACATTCAATAGGGGCTATGCAGGCAGTCCTTTGTGGGAGTGGAAGTCAAAAAATCTAGCTCTCCACAGTGTACGGCTCCCTAAACACATGGAAACGACCTCCTGACCCACTGAGCCCAACAGCGTGGGGAGGAAGGAGCCTGCACGTAAGCAGCAGGCGCGGACCGTGTCTAAATGACACGGAGAGCTGCCCAGCCCTGCTGGACACCCGCATCTCATGGGCGCTGTTTCCTGTGGTCGGCCACGGGCACACGCTGACTGCCTGGGCCCGATGGGCACAGTCGGCTCCAGTCCAGCCAGCCCCTCCCTCTTCCTTCCTAGAGACTGGGACACTTTGCTCAGGAATAATTTGTAATTAGTAAAGATAATGAACCAGGCCTCGTGGCTGGGGCTTTTTCCTGGGTCAGTACACAAGGTCTGTCTCATCTGTAGAGGCCCGCCTCGGGGAGCATGCGGTTCAGGGGTCCCAGGGCACTCTGGCCACTGGCTTCTCTGGAGGGCGAGCGGGGTCTCAGCAGGACCTTGGCAGGGCGGCCGGTGGCCCGCGTGCAACACCGGGGAAGGGAGAGCAGGAATCAGTTAATGAGCACCCTCCAAACCTGGCATTGTGGTTGTCTGATCGGGGCTCTGCGCGTTCATTCAAGGAAAATAAGTATAGTTCCTCACACCGACAGTGTGCTTGATAATTAAAAAAGACTTTCACATCCATAATCTCATTGGTTCTTGCAGCACCTGTCGAGAATTGCCATCTTCATTTCACTGACAAGCACACAGACTCGGAAGAGTGAAGTGACTTGCCCAAGGTCACCCAGTCAGTAAATCTGGCTGCAATGCCAACTCCGCGTCTTCTGAGTCCTGGGCCCTGTCCACGACGCCACTCCAATCTCAGTTTATCACCGATGTGCGTCTGCTCTTGGCAGGAAGGGTCTAGCATCTCCATCCTACAGAAGAACAAATTGACACCGAGATGCAATTAAACTTCTTGGCTTCCACCCCTCGTTCCCTAATGGCACGGTGCCCCTCTCTGGGTGAAGGGCAGGGAATTGTTTTGCAGACTAATCTCAGCTCTCAGAGTTCAGAGTCTCCGCTGTCACTGTCAGTGCCACGGCGGTCATTTGGCTTCCGCACGCCCTCTGTGTCCAACAGGGGCTCCCGGCGGCTGCTTCCGGGCAGGGGCGGGGGGGCCAGGCCACGCCAGAACAGCTCCTCCACTTGGACCTCACGCTGCCCTTTCAACCCCGTGGGCCCCAGCAGCTGCTGGCACAACGCGCCCCTTTCCCGTCCTTCGAGGGTGAGAGCATTTCGTTCTTGATCTTTTTCTGCAGTCACATCCTGTGACTTCTCCTGAACAGGGGAACTGGGACACACTTTCCCAGTCGGGCCACTAGACGTGCCCTGGCCCCCAGATGCCTCACTTCCCGAAGTGACCCATTCCAGATGCGTGGCCACCCCGTGACACCCCGCCCGGACGAGAGCCTGACCTCTTCTGAACGCCTTCACAGTCACTATCCAGACTTTGGAAAATACAGGAGAGTAGAACCCTGTCTTTGGGGGGATTTTTTAGGTGCCCGGTATCTTCTTCCTCTCCCTACGTTGGAGGGACTTGCCGTGGGACACAAAGCAGGCGGGGCAAGAGCGCGTGACCGAGGGAGGCTGGACCCGAGTGAGTGAAGAGGACCCCATGGGGTGCAAGCTCCGTGAGGGCAGAGGATCTTGTCTTTTGGGTCATGCCTGAATCCCCCGTTCTGGAACAATGCCACGCCCCTCCTAAGCCAGGTAGTCGGAGAACGAGCGGATGACGCAGAGGTGATGCGACTAGGTTGAGCGTGGCCCACACTGGTGCCGGCAGCCGGGCGATGGCGGCCCTGTCTGTGGCTGGCCGGAAGGCGTTTCTGCTCCCTGGCTCCCTGTGCTAAGCCTGGTCCTGTAGCCTTCCCAACAATCGCATTTTCTGCTTGAAAGACCCAGAGCTGGTTTCTGAGGCATGCGACCCGGAAACTTAGCTGGTAGAGATGGGGTGCGGTTGATTACCCACGCGTGCAAGAATGTGTTTCATCTGCCTGACTCAGACTGCAAGCTTCTGCAGGCCATGAGGGCGCCATGCCTCGTGGCCTTCCTCACGACACCCACAACGCCGCCGCGCACAGAATGGGGGCTCGAGACGTGTGTGCAGATGGCGAGGAGGACGGCCCGGCTGTTCTAAAGGCCGGGCGTGCACGTGCTCGGGTGTTCTGAGACTGTCTTGCTACGTGTGCACACGTACACACTCACACACGCACGGACACACACACGCTCATTGGTGAGACGCCATGTGCCGGAGGCCGTGGGGGGGAGGCAGTGGGCCCACGGAAACCGGAGGGAACGTGTGGCCACGGGCCAGCTGCATCGTGGAAGCCCCCACACCCAGCCTGGCGTTCTCCTTGGCAGAGCAAACTCGAAAGCTGTCACCCGGTTCTGCTCCCTGGCAGCGCGGGCCCAACAGCGCACGGAGAGACCAGGGAAGTAGAAACCGGGGACGTGCACCGCGTGTCTCCG